TTTATAGTAAAATGTTGAGTTGCATATGAAAACATTTCAACATGGCAGCCTCTTAAATGGGGATGACGTTGCTATACAGATCATATAACATATGACTGCGCTGTGTTTTATCTACTTATGTTTGTTTCCTTATGCACATATTTAACAGAGTTAAATCTGTAATTTCCCTTGGAACGTTGCCCAATTCACAAGTAGGCCACATTTCGAGATCAGATCCATAAATCCAGTGTTCTGTTGTAGGTGCCAAGTTCCCAATCAAGTGGACGGCTCCAGAGGCAGCACTCTACGGAAGGTTTACCATCAAGTCAGATGTGTGGTCATTTGGAATACTTCTCACAGAGCTGGTCACCAAAGGACGCGTGCCCTATCCAGGTGAGATCTGATGGTAGAAGGTACATTTTTAGGCCATTAACACTGACAGCAACTGGCTAAAATTTCATCAGTTAAAATGACTAAAATTTAATCGCAATTTTTCAAAGACAGTTTGCTATTTGATGCAAGATTAATTCTTAAAGGTATAATTTACTCAAAAATCAGATTTCTGTCATTGTTTACTAACCTACATGTCATTCCAAGCCTGTATGAACACAAAAATGCCTCTGTGTTTTTTTTCCTTACAGTGAAAGTCAGTGGGGTCCAATGTTGTTTTGGACTCCATAGACTTACATTGTATGGACAAAAGCAGAGACATTCAAAATATCCCTTTTTGTGTTCAGCAGCAGAAAGAAAATCTTGCAGATTTGGAACCTTTTTTGGTTAAATTATGCCTTTAAAGGGGTAATTCACCACTTGCTCTCTCATGTTGTTCCAAGCCTATAAGTCTTTGGTTAATCTTTGAAACACAAATTAAGATATTTTTAATGAAACCTGAGAGGTTTCTGTACCCCCGTTTAAAGTCCCGTCCAAGTCCAAAACTTATCAGATCCAAAAAGGTCATAAAGGCACTGTAAAACAAATCCATATAAAAGTCTTGTGAAGAGATACAATCTCTTTATTTGATGAGCAGATTTTAATTTAGGCTAAACAATGATCGACACACAGAGCACATCACATATGGTAAACACGGAAGCTCAAATATGCATGTGTGATGTACGAGAACCAATAAAGTTTGTTGTAGCGGGAAACATATGCATTACCAAATGTGATGCGCTCTGTGTACAGGTGCATCTCAATAAATTAGAATGTCGTGGAAAAGTTCATTTATTTCAGTAATTCAACTCAAATTGTGACTTAATTTGTGTTTTGAAGATTAGCCAAGGCGTTATGTGTTTGGAACGACATGAGGGTGAGTTCCACACCCATGAAAGAATTAAAGTAGTGCTGTCAAATGATTAATCGCGATTAATCACATCCAAAATAAAACTTTTTGTTTACATAATATATGTGTGTGTACTGTGCATTTTTATTATGTATATATAAAACACGCATACCGTATATATTTAGAAAATATTTACATGTATATATTTATATTCATATAATTTATATTATATATAAATATATTTAATATATAAACATAACATATTTTTCTTAAATATATATGTGCAAGTGTGTATATTTATAAATATACACAGTACACAAACATATATTATGTAAACAAAAACTTTTATTTTGGATGCAATTAATCGGGATCAATCATTTGACAGCACTAAATCAAAGGCATAGTTTACCCAAAAAGTTCAAAACCTGTAAGACTATCTTTCTTCTGATGAACACACAAGAAGATATTTTGAATGTTTAAACTGTTTTTGTCCGTACAATGTAAGTCTATGGGGTCCAAAACAACACTGGACCCCACTAACTTTTTACTTTCACTTTTTGGGTGAACTATCCCTTTAAGAGCTTGAATAAATGAATGAAGTACAACTCAGCATCATACAGGAATTTAAGGGCCCCACAGCTTTTTTTTTTTTCCCCAGTTAAAGAGCACATGCTTTGCATTTGTCCCTCAGGCATGAACAACCGAGAAGTCTTGGAGCAAGTAGAGCGTGGTTACAGGATGCCCTGCCCCCAGGACTGTCCCAGTTCCCTGCACGAGCTCATGCTCCAATGCTGGAAGAGGGACCCCGAGGAGCGGCCCACCTTTGAGTATCTGCAAGCCTTCCTGGAGGATTACTTCACTGCCACTGAACCACAATACCAACCCGGGGACAACCTCTAAACATGGAGCTCCTGCAGAGTGCAGAGTATGCCACAACAGACTGCCCTTCAAAAGACTGATCGAAAGAGCGTTTGATGAGAAAAGCTTCCAGGTTTTGTGCCATCTCGACCCAATGTCTGACACAATTCATCTTCCATTGAAAAAAGGACATGCAGTCGCATTATATTTGTCAGTAAAGCCAAAAATAGTGTTCTGGGGAGACACATCAGTCACGATTAATGATAAGAATGGCTTGTTTGTATGTAGTGTAAATAGTGTGTTTAGTTTCCCTCGTATTCGGCTTGTTTTATTACTTTTTATAATGCTGTTTTGCGTTCTTATCCAGGCCGAGAAAGTCGATGCTGTGAGGAAAGCATGATCAACAGAGGCGGCATCAACCGTTTTGAGATTTACAGTGATTCTGGAAATCATTCCTAGACACTTCCAGTAGGATGTCGACCAGCCTCTTTTAAGTATTAAAGGAACTCTGTCAATTGTATATTAAATTAACGGTACGTGTCAAAACACTCCCTTTTAGCCGAGACATACAGCAGTGCATAGGTAGCATTTCTGACACATTATTGTGACTTTCACAGAAGGTAATGATGTCTGCATTGGTTTTAGTGATTTTGCTGGGCCTAATTATTTTGCACCTGCTTTTAGCAAGCGCTCAATGTCTTTCTTTCGTTTTCTGCTTCTTAGAATGAGTGCATTTTCTATTTAGTCACTTTGGATTAACAATAGAGCAATGTATGTATCAGAATAGTATGAGACCAAGTGGGCATTATGCTTGACCATACTTGCATCTTTCCTGCAAATAAGATAAAATGACTGCTAACATCCTTACTGTTGTGAGAGAAAATAAAACAAGTCCATTAAATGTATCTCACAATATCATGCATTATAAAATAACACGACTAAATGCGTAGAGAAATATTATGAAATGATAGAATTTCACTCAAGGTAACTCATTGCTGGTCTGCCTTGTTTTTTGCCCCTCATTTTATCCTTCGTGATAAAATGACATGTCTGAATATTCATTATTGGGTCATTCTTTACTTTTTATGAGCCATACTTCAGGAGCAGTTACCTACTCTTCACAACTATAGTGTTGATTTCAGTCAATATTTTGGGGTTCAGTTGAAGATCTGCTTTTATCTGGGCCTATAATTTAAATTATGTGCTGCATTTGTGTTAAAATCCAACCTCATGTTTTTCACATTTATTTTTGTACCATCCATATTTGGATTAATTCATAAATATTGTGTTTATTTAATTGCTTTGTTTCATTTATGCACAAACATTTTTAGAATAAAGTGTCAATCAAATACATTTCTTTCAACCTTTGGTTTTTTCATCTATCATCACATTATAATTGAGTATCTTTTGTGTTAAGATCATTTTGCAGGTACTTCAGGATTTAACATTTCTGTCAAAATGTAAAACTTCTAGATTTAACATCTGCAGTGGTGGCCTTAAACAAATTCATGTTTATGCATTAATACACATTTTAGATTTTAAATGATCAAAAGATAACATTTTGAAAAAGAAAAAGTACTTATTATTTTGATTTAATTATTCAATGCAATGACCATTAAAACGTTTGGGGTTGGTAAGATTTGTTAATGTTTTTGAAATAACACTAATATTGTGAAATATTAATACAGTTTAAAGTAACTGTTTTCTATTTAAATATATTTTAAAATGTAATTTATTCTCGTGATGGCAACCTGAATTTTCAGCAGCCGTTACTCCAGTCTTCAGTGTCACATGATCCTTCAGAAATCATTCTAATATGCTCAAGAAAGATTTCTTATTATAATCAATGTTGAAAACAGTTCTGCAGCTTAATATTTTTGTGGAAACAGTGATAGTTTTTTTTCAACATTCTTTGATGAATAGAAAGTTCAAAAGGACAGCATTTATTATTAATTATATTTGCATTATATTTAAATAAATAATTAAATGTTTTACTTATATGAAAATTAATATTTTTTTAATTAATTAAATATTTTAATATTAGATAATATATTATTATTATTATTATTATTATTATAGTAATATTAAATATTTCAAATATTGATATATTAATTTCTTTAAATTGTAAAATTCTGTCATTTTTTGATCAATTTAATGCTTCCTTGTTGAATGAAAATATAAAATTCTTAAAAAACAAACCAACAAACAAACAAAAAACTTAATTTCATTTTAATTAATTAAACAATTTGCAAGCAGGAAACAAGGTCTGTTCTCACCTTCCATATTGCTGCCACTTTCAGCAGTACAGTTCTGTAATTCCCTGCATGTCCAGCGGAGGGCCACTGCATTCCGGCCAAAACATGTTCCGTGCCATGTCCACATCTCACGTCTCTTCTCAGCTTGTTTGTTCCCTAGTTAAAAATAGGAGCCATGCTTCTATATTTCAGAACTGTTCTACGAAATCACCAGTGAAACCATAGGCAGTGAGATTTGATAAAGAGTGCTAATTAGAAGCATGATTGACTTTAAATAGAATGTAATACATCCTAATACCAATGATTCCTTTCATCTAGATCATCATTTATTTTGAAAACATGATCACTGTGGCAATGCAATATTACATAATATGATGCAATATCACTGATGGTACATGCATTAAATTAATGACATTAACTGAAACACCAAAAACCAAAGACATTAGAGTCTGTGAACATGCAACTGTCTCCTTTTCTTTTGCTTCCAGTATATAGATCACACCCCCCTGCCACCTAAAAAGGCAAGAGAGAGTGCAGCTGGTAAACGCTATACTATCTAAGAATAAACCAGATTTGCAGGGGATAAGGTTACCTTGAAGCACCCCAGCACTTTTCCCGTCCCACACCCATGTGAGGCACCAATACCATGGGCTAAATTACCAGCACCTATTTGCTGCGTCCCCTGCCAGAGCCTGAACTCCCCTGTTTACAGCCCTGACCTAACATCCCATTCTCCCCCAGCCATGATCCCAAATCTGGCACTTTGAAAACCCTCATCCCGCTTTTCTCACGAGACTGAGGTTTCACCCGTGGATTGGATGGGGACGACAAAGAGGAACATCTTTTCCTGAGTGGGATTTAATATCAGCTGGCTGAAACCACCCAAGTAAGATTACACAAGCAAAATCAAAGGACATTCGGCTGAAGTGCCACCATGGCTCAGGCAACTAAAGGTACTGCAGGTTTTGTACTCATGATCTCCTGCATTTGATTAACAGACAGAGTTTATTGCATGAAAAAAAATTTAAAGTAGATGTTACAATATTTTATAATAATAAAATATTTGAAAAATAAAAGCTTGAATCACAATAAATGCTGTTGTGGTACCATATCAGACAGCTCAGTTGATCTATGTAGCCTATGTCACAAACAAATTTGAATCTGCTGAAACAAATGATATGCTGTACTAATAACATTTATGTATCTTATATATTCGAGATTAATACAGAGAAGTCTATAATTAACTTAAAATAATTCATAACCTCAGAAGTGTATAATTTATTTAGATTTATCAATGCAATTAAATTTCTCTTCATCAAAGTATCCTGAAAAAAAATATGTATCACAGTTTACACAAAAAACATTAAACAGACAGCACAACTGTTTTTAATATTGTTAATAAAAATAAATGTTATTTGAGCACCAAATAAGCATATTGATATATGATGACGATAGGATGATATATGATTTCTGAAGGATCATCATGTGACATTGAGGACTGGAGTAATGGCTGCTCAAAATTCAACCATTGCCATCACAGGAATAAACATTTAAAAATATATTAAATGATAAAACAGTTATTTAACATTGTAATAATATATCACAATATTACTGTTTTTATTGTAATTTTGATCAAATAAATGCAGCCTTAGTGAGCATAAGGAACTTCCAAAAACATTATAAAATACCGACCCCAATTTTTTAACGTCACATTTTGGTGAATCTAGCAAACGTGATCAATTTTTGCAATATTAAGACTTTGTTAATAATTAGCTTCTTTGTTTAGTTCATGATGTCATTAAACTCAAGCAGCAGGGAGAAAATAACACAAGATGGAGAAGCAGTTTATTCTTGCAAGCGTGAAGTCAGTCATGCATATTGCCTTTAATGCAAGAGAACAGCTGTAACAAATATCATGTTGTTATGGTGCTGTACTTACTGTATATAGAAATAAAGAACAATGTAGAAATATGGAAAGTATTTAGAATATATGAACACAAGTAATAAAAAAGAGACATTTGGGTAACATTTTCCACTTTTTTGACATTTAGGAGCAAGGTTTGCTATACAGGTATATGTGTAAATTCATCCATATTTACAGGTCCCGCAGTGAAGCCCATCCCTCCCACTGCTGTAGATGCCCCGGCTAGGGCAGTGCACCCAGACTCACTTACAGCCCGGAGCCATGGAATTTTACGAATCATGAATTGCCCGGCACAATGGGTGGTCATCATCACACTTCTGATCTCTTGGTCAATAGCAGGTGTTGTCATGTTTGACTTTGTCAGTGACGATCAGATTGCAAGTAAGTTTTAAATAGGCCTAATTCATTTTCACAGTTCCTATTTTATTTACTCTTGTGCTGTTGTTGGATTTGTTGGGTTCACTCTGAATTGTTTTTATAGGCATCCAAGATTTCGGCTCTGATCCAGTGCTAGCAGTGAACAAAGCCATTGAAGTCATTGAAAACAGGATAAACCATATGAATGATATGTTTAATGATGCTCAAGGTATGCTTTCACAACACACAAATAGTTTCTTTTATCTTTAAAATATCACTATGCTTTTCTGTGCAATTACAATTAGATACTAAAACTTTCAGTCTTCAAAAAAGGTGCCAAAATGCATCATAGCTACAAGTAGTCTAAACGACTATTACTAACGTGCTATATTTTAACTGTTCTGAAGTTATTCAGTAGTTTTGTGTGAAAAAAAAGACCGTCATTATTAAAAAAAATCTTAATATCCAGTGAGTTGTCTGAGACCAGATCATTGAATCTGTGAGTTGGACTCGAGAACTGGATCAATCTGATTCACGAACAATTCAGACCATATCAACCGATTTGCAAAAAGATTAAACTCATAATGATTAATTCATGAATCGGCCATCGCTCATTCACAGGAACGTGCCTGTGAGCTAAATCTAAATGATTTTGATTTTGATCTCTTTCTCACACAAAACTATTACGTGGCTTGGAATATAGTGCAGGAGTATTATTGAGCACTTTTTGATACTTTTATAATGATCTTTGTATTTTTTGAAAGCCAGTTTCATTATAATTGAATATACTTGTGTTTTGCGGAAGAATGGTGAGTAAATTAAAGGGTTACTCCACCCCAAAATGAACATTTTGTCATTAATTACTCACCCTCATGTCATTCCAAACTCGTAAGACCTCTGTTCATCTTCGGAACACAAATTAAGATATTTTTGATGCATTCTACATCAAACAGCCGCGCCACACGGATACGTTCTTTTCGTTCAAATCCAAGCATAAATAAACGTAGAAAACACTCCGGTTATTGACGTAACCTCGGTTCCCTGAGATAAGGGAACCAGCGTTGCGTGAGATGCTAAGGGGAAAACTCCTGTTTTACTGTGTACTGAAGCCTGATTTGTTCACGTTTGTGTAGCTGCACAAACCATTGGAGCTTTAGCCCGCCAGAAAGGGTGGAGCCGACCCTTATATAAGTCGGCTCAGAGACCCATTCATCAGATCATTTGACTGAAGTGACAGTCATTGATTCGCGTGCAGCTTATAGTGCTGCAAGTGACGCAACGCTCGTTCCCTTATCTCATGAAACCAAGGTTACGTCAGTAACGCATCCAATCACGACGCGCTATGAGCAGATACAGGACATCCTGCTCTGCGAGCCCAGTCTCGGAGCACTAATAAGGACCCCTGAGAACATGAGCATATTGTGCCCCAAGCTAGTGGCTGAGAAGCACTAATATAACCAGCTTCGCCCAAGAGGGAAGAGTGGTACATTAAACTGAAAGAACTCGCGCCTGTAAAGCAGGGACGTCTAAGTTATAGAATCTGGCAAATGTGGACGGCGACGACTAGATCTTCACAGATCTCACCAATAGAAATTCCGCTGGACCACGCCCAGGAGGAGGCCATCCCTCTTGTGCAATGGGCCCTTACACCTATAGGGCACTGCAAGCCTTCTGAGGCATAAGCCAAGGCTATCGCACCAACGATCCAGCGAGAAAGTCGCTGCTTTGTGGCCAGCAGTCCTTTATGGCGACCTCCAAAGCAAACAAAAAGCTGCTCTGAGCATTTTCGGACCCAGCTCACCATCTGTAACGGAGAGCGCCAATAGGGAGATCACCTGAGCTCTGAATGGAGTTGAGAGCACTTTAGGAACATAACCATGTCTTGGTTTTAGAATGACTTTACAGTCATTAGGCCCAAACTCAAGACATGAGGCGCTGATTGACAGTGCTTGCAAGTCACCCACTCGCTTAACCGACGCCAAGGCAAGGAGGAGGACAGTTTTAAAAGATAAGGGCCGCAAATCAGCCAAACTGAGCGGCTCGAAGGGGTGCCTTCTCAGGGCCCGCAGGACTATAGACAAGTCCCAAGATGGCACAGTCTGAGGGCGAGGAGGATTCAGCCTCTGTGCACCCTTCAAGAACTTAACGATCAGGTCGTTTCTGCCGATCGATTGGCCAGCTTCGAGGGAATGGTTCTCTGCGATAGCTGCCGCATACACTTTGAGCGTGGAGGGGTCGCGCCCCTTATTCAGCAGCTCTTGCAAAAAGGTTAGCACATGGGACACGTCACATGATATCGGGTCCAAACTTCGTGCAGAACACCAGTTAAGGAAGACCGACCATTTTAGGCTGTAAAGTAGACGGCGCTCTTGCCTCCAAAATGGTATTGCTTACTTTCGCTGGGAGCTGATTAAGCTCCCGTCGATGCACCATATATGAAGGCTCCACAGCTCCAGCCGGGGATGCTAAATCATGCCTTTCGCCTGCGAGAGAAGGTTCCTCCTCAGCGGAATGGGCCCACGGGGCTGCTGCTGAGAGCTGCACTAGCTCTGGGAACCAGGCCTGGTTCCTCCAGAGTGGGACCACCAGGAGGAGAGAGCACTTGGTCTCCCTGACCCGCTTGACGACCTGAGGAATCAGGGCAATTGGGGGAAATGCGTATAGGCAAGCACTGGACCAGTCGTGGGCCAGAGCATCTCGCTGTATCGAGAAGTATGTTGGGCAGTGAGAGTTGTCTTCCGAGGCAAAGAGGTCGACCTCTGCCCTCCCGAAGACTGACCAGATCTCTTGAATCGTTTGAGGGTGTACCGCCCATTCACCCGGGGCTATCTTCCCTCTGGACAGCATGTCTGCACCAAGGTTCAATCTGCCCGGCACATGAACCGCCCTTAATGAGAGCTCGTTCCTGTTTGGAACAGGCGAGAGGTCGTCCAGGGGGCCACATCCTTGATACTGCGGTGGTCTACCCTGACAGGAAGCCGCGCCAGGCGTGGGTGGAATGCGGGCTTTGAGCCAAAACTCAAGGGGCCACATGTGAAGCAGAGGGGAAAGAGCCGCATCTATGCACTTCGTGAAAGTGCGCGGGGCCAGAGACAGTCAAAACAGAAGGACTGTATATTGATAGGCCACTCCCTCGAACGTGAATCTCAAGAAAGGTCTGTAATGGGGGGCTATGTGGATGTGAAAGTATGCATCTTTCAGATCCACTGTCAAAAACCACTCCTCGGGGGAAATGTGCGCGATGATCTGTTTGATAGTTAACATCTTGAACGACCGGTGCATAAGTGAATGGTTCAGACGTCTGAGATTCAGAATGGGTCTGAGCCCGCCATCTCTCTTTGGAACGAGGAAGTAGCGGGTGAAAAAGCCTGACTCGCTGTTCACTGGGGGCACTATTTCCACAGTGCCTTTTGCAAGCAACGTCTGCACTTCTTGTCGGAGAACGAGCGCTTCGTTGTCCGGAACAGAAGTTTGAATAACGCCTCTGAAGCGAGGTGGCCTGCGAGCGAACTGAAGCGAGTAACTTTGCTGAATTGCTTTTAAAACCCAACTCGACACTGCCGAAATGGCTGCCCAAGCTGTGAAATGGGAGGCGAGGGGGTTTATTTTTGTGAACGAGAGCTCGCCGAGAGAAGGCAGGGAACTTGCATTCACATGAGTGTGTGAGAGAGTGTGAAGAGGAAATTTGCATTTTATTGTATGTTGGTCCGCTATTGTACGTGACCCGCTGGAAACGAAACTCCATTGCTCAGAGGTGCTTGGAGGGATGTAGGATGAAAGCGAGCTGTTTTGCGGGGCGTTCCGTCCGAGGCAAGAACAGAGCCCCTCCTCTTCCTCTCTAGCGCATCAGGACGGCTTAGGCGGCTCAGCACAAGTCCAGCACAACTCGTGGGCGGGGACCTTGAAGCTTCGGAAAGGGGAAGCGTTTCGCCGTCCGGGGGCGCTGCTGCAGCCCAGGCTCAGATTTCCGTTGAGGCTGAGGCTGAGGCTGCGCTGGCTTTGCAGGATGGGTGGCGGGATTCTTCGGGCAGCCCGCAGCCACGGGGCCAGGGCGCTTGGGGAGGAAGTGACGCAGCACCTGCAACGCTTCTGAGCCTCCGCAAACCTTTCTGCAAACCCGTCCACAGTGGGGCTGAACAGGCCCTACGGCGAGACCAGTGAGTCGAGAAAAGCCATTCTTCTCAGCGTCCCTGATCTCAGTGAGGTTTAACCAGAGGTGGCGCTGCAGCACCACCAAACTGGCCATGGTCTTGCCGATCGCCTGTGCCGTTGCTTTCGTGGCGCAGAGAGCCAGGTCTGTTGCTGTGCGCAGCTCTTTGAAAGCCTCCTGGTGTTCTTGACCAGACTCTCCCATACTGCGTAGAAGCTTGACTTGAAACACTTGGAGAACCGCTATTGTATGCAGTGCCGACCCTGCCTGGCCGGCCGCTGCATAAGCCCTATTGGCGAGCGCCGAGGTGGTCCTGCAGGGCTTTGAGGGATGCGCTGCGTGGGCCTTTAATCCGAGGGCAGATGGCGGGCACAGATGAGCAGCAACTGCTTCCTCCAGAGGGGGGAGCTTGTTGTATCCCTTTTCTTCAGTGCCATCAACGGTGGTGAGAGCCGCTGCTGTAGAGGGATTTACTCGGGCCGAGTAGGGGGTGCTCCACGTCTTGGTGAGCTCGACATGAACTGCAGGCAAGAACGGGGTGGGGCGTTGGCAAGAGGACTGTTGACGGCTTCCCGGCAGGTACCACTCGTCTAACAGGCCATGGGGGGGGCTTTTCCGGAGCCAACCACTCAAGGCCCAGATCCTCTACCACCTTCGACAGGATGCGGATGAGTTTGGCGTCCGGTTTTGGCCTCAGAGTTTGAGAAGGGGGAAGGACTTCGGGCTCTCCGCCGGAATCTCCCCACTCTTCTGCATCAGACGCTGCCAAGGACATGGAGTTGTCGGCGATAACGTCCTCGATGATGTAGCGTCTGGACCAATCAAACACACAATATATATTTTGTTAGCTATACTTAACAAATACTCTGTAACACCCCTCAGTTAACAAGCCATATGAGGACCTATGGACCCTTCCCCCGAAATGCGTAACACCCCAAGTTGTCTGTGAACGAGGCCCAGGACCCTGGTTACCATGACAACCCTGACACCAGATAGATTTTAAGACCTAATGGCATGTGGAGAGGCCTCCCCCTCTCACTGCATGTTCCATAGGAAGAGACACAGTAGCTTTTTAAAATGGTTTATGCTGTGAATAATGGTCATTGTCTGTCATTCATTTGTGTCGGTGTACTGGCACAAAAAATAAGTAAAATAAAAAAAAAAATAAATTCATAAATTAAATCTATGATCTGTTTATTTTAACTCTGCCTCAGTCCCTAGGCTGTTATTTCATGGCCAAAGTTCATTTTTGAGCTCAATATATAAATTACGATAAAAACAAACAAACAAAAAACAATGCTAACACATTATAATGTAATATAATGTAAAGGAAACGGTGCTGAGGTTCGCTTCCTTTCGAACCAGATACTGAAGCAGTCACGTGTTTTTTTTAGGCGAATGAAGCTTCGGACGTCATAGATCACGTGCTTTTCTCAAAACGAATCAAGCTCCGATACAGTGCTTCAATGTGAAATGTGTTGTTGTTTTTTTATACAAGCTTCGAAGCTTCGTTGTTGAACGTAAAATCACTAGCGTTCAGTGGATACAAAATGGCGCTACGGTGACACGGAGAATAAAGTCGTTATTTTTGTTTTCTTTGCGTACAAAAAGTATTCTCGTAGCTTCGTAAAATGAATGCATAAAAAATATCTTAATTTGTGTTCCGAGGCCTTACGGGTTTGGAACGACATGAGGGTGAGTAATTAATGACAAGTTTCATTTTGGGGTGGAGTAACCCTTTAAAGGGGTCATATGATGCTGCTAAAAAAAGAACACTATTTTGTGTATTTGGTGAAATGAAATGTGTTTATGCGATTTAAGGTTCAAAAAACATTATTTTCCACATACTGTACCGTGACTGCATTTGTGATCGGAGAAATGACAAACAAGTGCTACTCCACACTGCCAAAAACTCGCGTTTGAATCGTCAGTGGCAAATTCTTTAAATATAAAAAACTTACTTATAGTCTGTGAGTCAGAACAGCCGGCATTGTAGGCGGCACACGCCACGGCCTTGAGTGAGCGGAGGTCTAGAGTGAGCCGCAGCCTAGAGTGAGCGGAGGCCGGCTTGAGTGAGCAGAGGCGGGCGGGCTTGAGAATGGCGGGGCCAGCGGATTCGACGAAAGAGCATCCGGCGGGCTTGTGGCAACCACATGTGACGACCCCGGGCTGGACTCCGCTTCCTCCACGGAGAAAGCCAATCCGGCAATCGACAGCGTGAAGTTGATGTATTTCCTCAGCGACCAGCACGGATCAGCTCCAGGCATGACGAAGCGGATATCGTCCTCTTTTGGAAGGCCAACCACAGTAGTTTCGCTTTCACAATGAAACACAGCGCATAGGAATAAGAAATACAAAGTACACAGAATAAAAGTTACGCCTTCTTTCTTTGCGTGAACATTTGGGCGGTGTTATGCAAATCTTCCCCCATCATGACGTAGACATGTGGGGGCGTGTTAGAACGAGCCGTTTTAGGTAGGAGTGGTTGACTCTTAAATTTTATAAAGAATATCTCTTTGGATTTGAGACTTTAGTCTTTGCAACTTTTACAGATCTTCTTTATGCACCAAGAGCTTGTAACACTCCAAAGAGAAAGGAAAAATTGAAATCGCATCATATGACCCCTTTAAGACAGAATTTTAATTTTTGAATAAGCCAGTCCTTTGAGAAGTAGCCTGATTACATTTTGTCGACATACATAACTTGTATGCAATTCTCTCTGCTTTTATTTGGAATACAGAGCACGTCACTGAAATAATATTTAATCCGGTGGAAGCTATTAGTTCAGCTGCTGACTCATCTGTGTCTTATCTGTCAGGAATATTTAGTGCCGATGGTATGTACATATGTTCATTAATGGCATTTAAAAATCATTTATAAGCAGTTTAAAACACTATTTAGTTTTGATTTGCATTATATTGTTGTTTTTCCATCCAGGAGATTCAGGAATCACTGAAACAGTGAAATATGGGGGCACTGTATTGGATGAGGCTACAGAATGGATCAAATCCCCAGTGAGCTACGTATTCCACTTATTTGAAGGTACCTGCTTTACTAATCATGCTGAAATAATTGGTCGATGTGGTTCTGGGAGCTGACATGCAATTAGAGACTCATTATGTACAATAACTCATGAACATGGTAAAAATAAATTATTAGTCTCATTAGCACTAATACCTGTTTAATGCTTTCTGTGCTTCAGACATTCTGGATATAGTGGTTGCTCCAGTGGATATGGTCAGTGAAGCTCTTGTGCAAATTTTAAGTGGGATCAAGACTGTTATACAGTGTATTTCCACCATGTTTGGGGGCATTGAAGGTACTGCAAAGCACCAACATTGTATATATACACTCACATAATCTATTTCATCTATATAGGTGCATGCATCTTTTCAATGATTCCCAAAATAAGCATTGATCCTGTATAATTGTCTGTTTTTTGGACTTATTTTAACACTTAACAGGGGACACAGGCATCACTGAAACAGTGAAACTTGGTGGCACTGTATTGGATGAGGTTACTGACTGGATTAGATTCCCAGTGGCTTACTTATTCCACTTATTTGAAGGTACCTACATTACAGAAATAATTGGCTGTTGTTGTTTTGCAGGCTGACAGGCAATCAAAGACTCATGATGTGCTCCAACTCAAGAAAATATTTCAATCAACATTTGAAATTCCCAAATGAGAAAGAAATGAGTCGTATTCGAGCATGTCAGTAAAACATGATTTTAGCTGCTCACTGACTTCTGTTTAATGCTTTACATGCTGCATAGATATCCTGGATGTAGCAATCATCTATCCAGCAGACATTGCCAGTGAAGCAGCTCTGCAAATTTTAAGTGGGATCAAGACCATTTCTTCAACCATATTCGGGAACCTTGAAGGTATTTATTTCTTGCATCATTTTAGTCATTCAGTGATATAATTCACACAAAGTTACTGCATTTTTACTCAAATAAATGCGGCATTGGTGAGCCTAAGAAACGTTAAAAAAATTGCACTGACCCCAAACATTTGAACGGTAGTGTATATATATATCAAAAAAGCTCAAATAAATGCACCTTGTCAATATTTCAGCTTGGTTTCCCAAAATGAGCACTGATCCTGCGGAGCTGGCTGAAATAGTTGTAGAGGAGGCCGCAGAAGTAAAGACCACCGTTTCTAATTACCTATCCAGTCTGTTTGCAGCGGATGAAGGTATTGTTCATTTATCAGCTCAAAACATTGTGTTACATTTGTATTCAATATTTGATTTGTAAGAGTATTCAGTTGCGTTCTGTTATTTCATTTTTCCCAGGTGGTATTCCTGACCTTAGCTTTGATCCCATGAAAGTTGTCACAGACACTGTTGAGGAGTTTGATGACAGGAGGGATATGTTCTTGGCTTATCTCTCAAACATGCTCATGGAAGACAAAGGTATTCATCCTATCAAGTATATCACAAATGTATGCTTGTATATTAAAATAGTTATTTTTTTAACTATCCGTGTCATTCTCTGTTTCAGATGACACACCGCAAGTGATAAGACGTAAAGGTGTGTGTCAATATTCATTCATTCACTACTCAATACCTCTGTTAAGATATAGTATTATATGTTAATCTATCAATATTCCTAAATCTTCTCCAGGAGAATTTCTGCCCCCTATGGAAAAAGGTTAGTAAATGCACATTATTTAATTTACATAAACGCTCTATATTAACACAAAACTAACACTAGTACTCAAACCTCAAGCATTTATAATGCAAGATCTTGAATTGACTAAAATTATAGTTTTCTGCTTCGTTGTCATCCCATGCCTATTGCACAGTTATGTTGTGTCTTACCCTGTTTCAGTCCATTTGGTAATTAGTACATTTAGAAAACAGTGATAGAGGTTATGTAATACGGTGCATGAAAAGGACCTGCATGACTGCATAAGGGATGATTGTCATTTATATTTTCTGTCTGTACTATAGTGTTAATTTTAATGTCCTGCACTCTCTATCTCACACAGTACTCCCATGATTCTTCACATTATGTAAAAATGTGTGTGTTTAATTTCTCTAGAATGGTTTAAAAGAAGGTGCATAACATATTTACCAAATACAAAAATAAAAAGTTTGTCAAATGCATTTCTTGCTGTTTGTTTTCCTGTCTCCTTCTTGCGGTGTAGTGCAATGTCTAACCTTCTCTGATACATTTGTCAGTTGATATTCTTCACAAACACACAGCATGTAGGAATTCTTACCACAGTTATGGCACATGTTGCAAGAATATTGTGAATGTCACAATATTAATGCCCTGAGATTTTAAGCTGAGGTTGTGGAAAGAAATAGAGGGTTTCATTTCAAGTCGCTGCAGTCCTGATGCATAAAGTGTTTATTTAAAAATCTTCAAACAGTAGAGAATTGTGCTAGCAAGGTCATTCCTGAACTGATAAAATGTATACCTTGAATGCAGTGCAAGTCACTTTGGATAAAATTGCATAAATTTACACAAACGGTCTCAACGTTTCAGAATAACAAAATATAATCTTGGGTTTTGATGAAACTGCTAAAAATGGTTCAACTGAAGTTTTTTGTCAGGGCGTAACATGTGCATACTGTTAAAGTCATCAATGTGATGTAATTATGTGTTTCCAATCTGAACAAACTCGTGTCTCGCACATAAACTGGTAAATGTGTTTTTATCTGTAAAATGAGCTTAGTTCTGTCATAAACCTGAAATGAAAAATGACTTCATGAAACAGTTGCAGAAATACTAGGCAAAACACAGGACCCTGCCTATGCTGCCTACATTGCTGTGAGATCCACAGACAGTACTAAACAGGAAATAAAAGAGGTTGAGGAGGAACGCGGTGAGGTAGAAGCTGCTGAAGATACAACTGAAAAAGCTCAAGATATTGTGGACGTTACAACGGAGGAAGGGAGGGTTGAAACGGCTTGGGACAGCTCTGATGTCACAGTTGAAGACGATGAGGCTGCCTCCGATGTCATGGAGGAGGATAAAACTGCTGGAACAGTTGAAGATATTGCAGATGTTACAGAGGAGGAACCTTCTGTTATGCAAGAAGACATAGATGGGGAAATAGAACCTGAAAAGTTTGAGGATATCTCTGATTTTGCAGAGGACGAATCAACTGATATGACCTCTGATGCTACATATGTGAAGGACATGGATGATACCTCAGATGTTGTAACAGCAGATGATGAAGTTACTGAAACAGTTGGAGATATTTTGGATGTTACAGAGGAGGAACTTTCTGATATGGCAGAAGTCATAGGTGAGGCAAAAGCAACTGAAAAGTTTGAAGATATCTCAGATTTTGCAGAGGATAAATCAACTGAAACGACATCTGATGCTACAGATAAGAAAAATGTTGACGATACCTCAGATGTCGTTACAGAAGAAGAAGAAGTTACTGAAACAGTTGAAGATGTAGATGTTACAGTGGAGGAAACCTCTGATATACCAGAAGTCACAGATGAGGAAACAGTGACTGAAAAGGTTGAAGATATATCAGATTTTGCAGAGGACAAATCAACTGAAATTACTGAATCTGATGCTACAGATATGAAAAACATTGACGATACCTCAGATGTTGTTACAGAGGAAGAAGAAGTTACTGAAACAGTTGAAGATGTAGATGTTACAGTGGAGGAAACATCTGATATTCCAGAAGTATTAGATGAGGAAATAGCAACAGAAAAGTTTGAAGATATCTCTGATTTTAAAGAGGACGAATCAGCTGAAAAGACCTCTGATGTGACCGAAGACATTGATGCTGTTACAGAGGAGGAAGTAGTTACTGAAACAGCTGAAGATATTCCAGATGTTACAGAGGAGGAAACATATGACATTCCAGAAGTCATAGATGAGGAATTAGCAACTGAAAAGGCTGATGATATCTTTGACTCCGTAGAGGACGAGTCAACTATGATAACCTCTGATGTGACAGAAGACACTGATTATACCTCAGATATTGTTACAGAGGGAGAAGTTACTAAATCAGTTGAAGATATTGCAGATGTTACAGAGGAACCATCTGATATGCCAGAAGTCATCGACATTGATGATACCTCAGATCACGATACCTCTGTAGTTATAGAGGAGAAAGAATCAACTGAAACAATTGAAGAAGCAGCAATTGAAACAGCAGAAGGTACTTCCTATGTTACAACCAAAACTGAATTAGACAATACAGATGAAAATGAATTTCAGAAATATCCCAGTGTTACAGAGGAGGAGGAAGAACCTGAAAAAGTTAAAGATACTTCTGATTTCTTAGGTGAGGAAGAAGAACCTGAGACAGATGAAGATACCAGCACTGAAGAAACAGCCGAAGAGTCACTAGAAAATGAACAGCCACCTGAATTGGCTGAAGCTACTCCAGATACCATCTGTGTAAAGGAAAAGACTGAAGCAACAGAACTTGATGATCTTGAAGTCCTGGGTAAGGATGACATGAAAGTGGAAGGCAAGGAGGAGAAGGAAGATGTGGCAATTGCTGATGCTGAAAAGGGCACAAAGAACCTGGAGAATGATCTAGATGAAGATGAGGTTGAGGTTTTAAAAGAGGAGACTAAAGATCAAACTATCTTGGGAACCACTGCTGGTGAAGATGACCATGATGATGAAGAGGAGCTTGTCCTTTCTCCTGTCCAGCAGGATCTAACAAACAGAGATGATGAAAATAACAATAACAATGACAGGAAGAAAGATGCCATAAAAAGAGGCCTGAGCGGGAGAAAAACACCAAAGAGTCATTCCACTGAAACAGATGACCAAGAAGCGCACAAGCATCTTCATGAAGGTATAGAAAAATTTTGTATCCTTAACAAATAGGGAAAAGTGTTAGTTCAGTTGACAGATGGCAACCAATATGTCAATAGATGACCTTAATAACAAATTATAATTCACTTACCATCGGAAAATTGATCACTAAATAAAGACATTATTATTATTTTGTTAGTTTAATTTAACAATTTAATAAAAGTAACTGTGCAGGATCCTAACATAGCTAACTACCTAAAAATATGCCTTCATATTCCCCTTATAATCCCACATTAAACAATAAATATTTATTAATTGTTGTTGTATAAATAACATTATAATAACATTATATATAATATAACTGTCAATGTATTAGTAGCGCCAGCTATACTATAGTTCTAGACCAATAATTTGATTGGCCAAGCAGTGTTTAAATCCTTGTTTGAATTCTATGGGTCACAACTAAACTGCTTGTTGGCCAAGTACAAATGAACTACTCAGGTGGCCATAATGCATCTGAAATGTCAGTTACTCCATATTAACTTTGTTTATAGAACATAACATAGTTGTAAGCTGTATATCTATAGGTAACCTATATCTATACATCACGGTGATATTGCATCAGTTTTGAAGAACACGGTTATCACTCGTCTCTTACAATTTGGACTTGGAAGAAGAACAACTTGATGGATGAAGATGAAGTTTCATTCACTGTTGCTTCTACTTCACCTCTGCTTCTGGAAAGATTCTTAAAAGAGGAGCAAAAACACAGCTGGAGGATTCTCTAAAGGACTCTGCTGCTGTACAAGTTTCTATATATAAAACTAGAGAGAGCTATTTGATGTTATTGATCAATTACACATTGCACACTGTAAGAATTTTAGCATATTTGTTCAATATTATTTTCTTAGGAAAAGTCCACAAAAATGGTGTTTGCTTTTATGTAATGTTATATATAGGGTATTTTTCTCTTTTTTTGTGTAATTTAGAATTACTTTCTCAAATCAAATCATTAGGAAAAATTAAAACCATACAAAATACTTCTTTGCACTGATTTGTAAATAATTTCAGTGATTATTTGCAAAGCTGTTTATGTTGCTTAATTGAATGATTCCATTAAGATAATTAATTATTTAATTTATCCATTATACATTATTAATTGTAGTTTGCCATCTAACAATGACATGGCTGAAAACCACTTTGCTGCTTTACAAGTACTATTAATGTTAAATTAACACACTTATAGTGCACTAATTCATGCTCTAATTCTCATTGTTCATTAATGATGTGGATGTTAAAACCTGTAACTTTCATTTAACATTTACTCATGATTTCAGTTCTTGAACAAGTGAAAGAAGCCAAAGAGAAAAAAGCTAGAGAGGAGATATACAAAATCATTCAAGGTGAATGGTTTGTTGTTTTCTTCAGTGCTTGCACACCGTAAAATACAGTGCTTGTGCAGAATGAAAACTGCAATTTAAGAGAAAACTGATAGAACTGTGACTCATTATCTTTTCTGTTCTTCCAGATATGAGGGAGAAGAAGGCTGATGGTGAAGAGGAAGAGATAACACTACAACAAATAAACATAACAGTAGAAAAAGTCAAGAAAAAAAAAGAACATGAGAAAAAGGAGATAGAAAAGGCTAAAAGAAAAGAAAAATCCAAAGAGGACAAGACTCGAGAACCAACAAGTAAGACTGATAAAGCATACTGAACTTATCTACTTAATGTATAGGATATCTAATTTCTCTTTTGTGAAAAGCTCAACATCCACATTTAGATTGTAGATTGCTCTGTTCTTCACGATGAAGGTTGAAGGCTACGTTCAGCCCACTGCTACAGACCTACAGTTGCTTATAGATTACATGTAAAACCCCACACCTCTGTTTCAATAGATAATATATGTGTATGTGAAATGTGTTCTAGACAAGGACACCAAGAAAAAACCTGACAAAAAGGTCAAGGTGACTAAAGTGGATGAGGAACCTCCTCTAAAAAAGAAGAAATCTGGTACATGATGCACTAACGGCAAAAATAGATAAATAAAGCTTTGCTTGCTCATTACACTGTCTGAGGGTTAATTTACAGTTTTTAATTGAAACACTATATATTTCAGCTTTAGTCCATTATAATGTTTATTTTTATATTTTATTTTATTTTATTTTTTGTAATAGAAAATAATGCTACAGCAGTTTTTATATGGACTCTCACATGATCATGCATTTTTACAAAGCTGTCTAAAAAAACTCAATACAAAATGTAATATTACAAAATTCTAATGTATATAATTTCGTATGCGCAGGACCTGAGAAAAAGGTTAAACCAGCAAAGAAAGGTATTCAACACATCCTGTTCATGGACAATATATTTCAATGTTGTTGTTGTTTTTTGGAAATAAAATTTCCCACAAAGTCCACAAACATTCCTAAATTTAATATATCGCACAGAAGCCAAAATTGTGAAACAAAATGATGTATTTTATGCATGTCTATAACAGCCAGCTCACCGCCAACTATTGTTTCTATTGTGTCATAGATGTTGAGATGGCCAAGGACAAAATCAAAGCAGTACCTGTAAAGAAAGGTATGTATCTTGTGTGATAATTGATGTTCCGTTTGGTCAATTCTGAATTAACAGGAAATAAATGTAATGCTTATTTTTCAGAAGCTGAAGTGGCCAAAAAAGAGATCAAACCAGCACCATCTAAGAAAGGTATTGTGTTGTGTGTTCTTGCTTTACTGAGCACACATTACTGAGAACACTATCAGTAGAACATAAATACAGATAGATACAGATTAAATATAAAATACAACTATACAAATATACAAATAAGGTAAAATGTAAAAAAATATATAAAGCAGCACACGGCACATGGCAGATAGAGTGCAAACCAGTGAAGTAAACAACAGTGCAGATATAATGATTTGTAGCACATGATGGGGGCCGGGGCTCTGGCTCTTCTTAGTTAGAAATCAAATTTCACTGTAAAGACTTTTTATATTGTCAATTTTTCTCCACTCATTTGCAGAGCCCGAAGTTACAAAAGAAAAGGCCAAACCAGCTCGTTCAAAGAAAGGTATCATAATGCATATTTAAAGTCTCTCATGCCGATGCTCCCATTTTAGATGCTTTATTTCGTTTAGAAATAAATCACATCCTGCAAAGAAAGTTACTTTCCTGTCTGAAGTATTCACTTTTTTTTGTTTTTTTTTTTAGAAAAAGCTGATGTTATCAAAGAAAAGGCAAAACCAGCTCCAAAAGAAAAGGGTATGCTTGTGCTGTTAAAATAAAAATCAAGTTTATCATACAAAGTTGTGTTTGTATCAGAGATAACATATTTTGTCTTTTAGTTGCTGAGGTTGTCAAGAAAAAAGCTAAGCCAGTAAAGAAAGGTACTTTGTATTGTATGTATTACTATTTATGAAGCTTTGCGTAAGTTAACAGATTATATGAACAGTTTGTTTCAAATGTTTACAGAACCTGAGGTTATTAAAGAAAAGGTCCAGCCTGCACCTTCAAAGAAAGGTACAAAGCTTGCATGTTCATCTGTAAACATATTATGGCTGAAATATGTGTCCTTTAAGGGTTAGAGATCCCTTTCTCAATAACTTTGGGGTTGATGATCACACTGTAACTTTCCTCACCTTACACATGCTTATTCAGTTTTAAAATCCATATGGGCTACATGGATGATGCAAACCAAACAACATATTTAACTAGTAAAATTTTATTGTAATACAACTGAAGATTCATTGAAACGTTTTACGTCTTCTTATTTCATATTACAGCTGAAGCTCCCAAGGAAAAAGCTAAACCTGTGAAGAAAGGTATGTTTTTTTTCCTGTTTCTCCTTAAGTATTTTCTAATCAGTTTTATTGTATGATGTAATGTATGCCATGTATTACTGCAACCTGAAGCTGCAAAAACAAAACTGTTAAAGCAAAAAGAGTTACTATATTTAAGATTTTAACCCCTGACCTTAAAAAAAATGTTTACTAAATATGCATTGAAAGTACATCAATTTTTTTATTATTTCAAAAGCTGAAGCCAAGGATAAACCACCAGCACCTGTTAAAAAAGGTAATTGTGTGCTGTTTACATTTGTTTTTGAGGTAAAAAAAAATGCTGAATGTATCTTTGCTTATGTATAGTAATTATATTTACTTGTAGAAGCTGAAGTCGCTGTCGAAAAAGCAAAACTTGCTCCTGTAAAGAAGGGTAAGACATTCCACAGACAATCAATGCCATTCTAAACAAAATGCAGTGTTTTTCTTTGTGTCATAAACTGCTGGTGTTGATGAAATTACAGAGCCTGAGGTTCCCAAAGAGAAGGCCAAACCGGAGCCCTCAAAGAAAGGTAAAAAGAGAAGGCAATTTTGAGATTCCAAAACCTGAACTATAAATCAAATTTTCATGCATTTAATTCTTGCTCTTATTCTATGGTATGGTATTATCTACTATTTTAGCTAGCATTGAAGTTTGAAGAAACCAGTAACAATAACATATTGATGCATTTTAGCAGCTGAAGAGAAAGAAAAACCTGTCCCTGTGAAGAAAGATATGACTCCTGTTATTAAACTTATATTAATAATCATTTTTTCATTGTATAATGTGTTGTTTGACATTGTTTTTACAGCCTTGCTCTTACATACAGTATATAGATTCAAATGGAAATATCATGTCTTTTGTGATGACCTGTTACTGTTTATGTAAAGAAAAAAAAGTTGAAGACAAAGCAAAACCAGCACCACAAAAGAAAGGTGCAACCTTTTATCTACTAAATTCAAATCTAAACAAATAATGTGATTCCATACTTTTAGCCGAAGCCCCCAAAGAGAAAGAGAAAGCTGTTCCAGTAAAGAAAGGTATCACATTTTGAACTCTAAATTACGTATTTAATGTTAGAATAATTTTATTTTATTGGAAAATATTTTCACAGATTTAACTGCCCATATCCACGTAGTCAGTTAAAGAGCCTCAGAGGAAAAATTGAAATCAGCAAGTTGAAATGCTTTGCTCTTTTCTTATTTATTCAGAGGCTAAAGCTCCCAAGGACAAAATTAAACCGGCCCTTTTGAAGAAAGGTAGGATGCGCTTAAAGTAACAGAAATTCATTTAAAAGCTATTTTTATGCATGACATTAGCTGAGCCTGCTGTCTCATTTTCAGAGCCTGATGTTTCTAAGGAGAAAGAAAAACCACCAACTGCCAAGAAAGGTAATATGGACATATGTGGCCTTGATCAATTTTTTGTCAGTCTTATATATAATTTATTGAATATGTACCTCCATCTTTTTCAGAAGGGAAGCCAACAACTGCTCCTGTTAAAAAAGGTAATTAGTAATTTTCCTTTCTTAAATTTATCGATGAGTGCATTGTTCCAATCTTAAACTTTCTACTTTTCCTTGAATTGTAGAGCCTGCAGTTGCAGAAGAGAAAGTCAAACCAGTACCTTCAAAGAAAGGTTGAAAAAAAAACTATTTTCAAGTATTAACATTTTAACTAGTCGTTATTCATTACTTCACTTTCTAATGCATGCAGTTATGATCATTTCAGATACTGAAGCTACTAAGGAGAAAGTGAAACCAGCCCCAGTTAAGAAAGGTACAGATTGATTTTATTGGACATATTTTTGCAATGTTAATGATGCTAACTGCTTACATCCACTAATGTACAGAGCCTGAGGTTTCCAAAGAAAAAGCCAAGCCAGAACCTTCAAAGAAAGGTAAAATGATTGCACTTGTTTTTATATTTCAACATGCATACCTTAAAATGGTTATTACATACAGAAAAATGATTGGATCTTGCACAGAGGCTGAAGCTGTTGATGAGAAGGCTAAACCAGCACCAGTTAAAAAAGGTAAAGTGCTCATGCTCTGTATTTGAGAGGGTAATAGTAAAAGATCCTGATAGTTTAATTAATTTCACAAGATTGATTTTCTGAAATATAATCCTGTAAATGCAGGATAATAAGGTGCAGGTTTGTTTGATAAGAAAACTTTCTGAATATTTTACATTACTTAAGCATGTACATTAGATCTACATAAATATTTTACCAAGCAGTTTGACTTGATTTTTAGAACCTGAAATTATTAAAGAAAAGGAGAAACCTCCAAAGAAAGGTAATAATTTTCAAATGTGAAAAGATGCACAAGGTACTAATCTTGTGTTCATGTAATTTGGAAATAAATGTTGATGTTAAACTTTTTATTCTTTTAGAAGCTGTAAAAGAAAAGCCCAAACCTGCTTATGTAAAGAAAGGTATTTATATTACTTAACAAGTGTTTATTTCTGGCCAGTAACAAGTTAAAACCTTACCTGTTTATATCAAGACAAAGAGGGGATCTTTAATTATTTGTTTTATCTGAATATGAGCGCATGAAACACTCCACTGAATATGTTGTTGATTTTCCATTTTTCACAGAACCTGAAGTTCCAAAAGAAAAAGCAAAACCTGAACCTACCAAAAAAGGTTAATTGTCTAAATAGTTTATCATGTTTTTTAAGTGGTTCAGTGTTTTGTGCATTGTTTTTTCTTTTGTTGTGTAAAAATATATTCTGTATAATATTATATATTTCAGAGGCAAAAGTTGCCAAGGACAAACTTAAACCTGTCGCTGTGAAGAAAGGTATGGATAAGTCTGTGATTACAGTATAATTGCTATACAACATTAAAAAGGAAAAGCAAATGTTAAACCGAACCTGGAAATCTGGGAGAATGATTTTAATAATATTTGAAATAATAATTTATTCAATGTTAATATATTAAAAACAATTAGAAATCAATTAGAATATGTTAACAATTTAACAGTTTGTATGGCAAAATTACAAAATCAGTTTTTCTAAGCATAGTTTCAGAGACTGAAGCTGCTATAAAGGCATGTCTTTGCTGAACTGTTTTAAAACTGAAATATCATTCTATTTGTAGAACCTGAAGTTACCAAAGAGAAAGCCAAACCAGAACCTGCAAAGAAAGGTATCACATAAGGATGCAGTATATGCAGTAAATGTTTGCAAAATTTACTACCAGGCAAGACTAATAAAGCAATAATCCCCAAGAAGATGTGGTTTACAGTGAATTTATAACAGCTAAGGGGCGTTAACGCTTAGCTGTTATAAATTCACTGTAATCCACGGCTTCACGGTGCTTATTGCTTTTATAAAACGGTTATTCTGTATACGTAGTATGGTTTCACAAAACATAGGCTGAAGTCATCACGCAGAAATCACATATTCTACAAACACATTTTAAAAATGATGCTAAAGAAAATAATTTATAGTATCAAAATATTTACTCGTCGTTGACATTTCAGAGGCTAAAGTTGTCAAGGAGGAAGCTAAACCAGCTCCTGTAAAGAAAGGTATTGTTGTTAAGCGAAATTAGGAGTCACATTAACATTTCCCCCCAAAAATTAAAGAACATTTATGCTAAAAAGCCATTTTGTTTCCTCTTTTTTATCATTTCAGAGGCTGAAGTCATCAAAGATGTTAAACCAGCCCATGAGAAGAGAGGTTTGAGTTACCATTATTAGCCATTATTGTTAAATATCAATAAAAAATCTAGAAAACCTTTTACAATCTCTAAATATTTTCACATCACTGCCATTTCAGAGGTCATCAAGGAGAAAGTTAAACCGGCTCCTGTAAAGAAAGGTATGGATGTCAATGAAATCATCCTGTATATGCTGTTGTTTTCTACTGTAATATTTTTCTACTTTTTTTTTTTTTGCATTAAAACTACTTTACAGAGCCTGAATTTGCTAAAGAAAAGACACCTGAACCAAAACCCAAAATAGGTTAGTGCCTGAACCTTTAAAAACATTTACTGAATATTTTACATTTCATCAGCACTCAAAAGTTTAATTGTTCTATAGAGAGATACTTTATCCTACCAGTTCAAGTTGCTTGACATTGTTGAGTAAATTATTCATCTGTTTTATAGAGCCTGAAGTTATCAAAGAGAAACCAGCACCTCCAAAGAAAGGTCGATACAGTATATGCTTTATCAACATTTACAGCAATGAATACTAGATTAGACTGAATCTCATACAGATATCATACAGAAGTTTTCCAACTTATCCTTGTAACCCCTTACAGCTGAGGTTCCAAAGGAAAAGGCAAAGCCAGTCCCAGAAAAGAAAGGTATATATATTCAGTTAGCCTTAAATAAAAAAATCACTTTAATTTATTATGTGACACTGTATCATTGATTAAATAACACATCTGCTAATGTAAAAAAGACAATACTGACTGTTCTTTACTGCTGTGCTTTCCAGCACCTGAAATAATCAAAGAAAAACCAAAGCCAGCTCCAAAGAAAGGTATCTAAGTATAATGTTTTAAGACAATGCTAATGCTTTAAAATATTCATATAAACTTCATTTTAGAAGCTGAAGTCATCAAAGAGAAAGTAAAACCAGCCCCTGAGAAGAAAGGTTTGAGTTACCATTATTGAAACTTTTTATATTTTTATTATCCATTTCATGTATGCTTCCGTTTCCTCAGATTGACATTTTACCCAAGCTAATCACATTTCAAATTGCCTATTTACAATTACTCTACTACATTTTTTTTATAGAGGCTGAAGTCATTAAGGAGAAAGTAGCTCCTGTAAAAAAAGGTATGAATATGAATGAAACAATCATATACTTTAGATTTCAGCTGTATGATGATCATTCATCACATAACATGTTATTGTCTCATAGAGCCTGAAGTTGCAATTAAAAAGGCACCTGAACCAAAACCGAAACCCACAGAGAAAGGTGTTATTATGCTATATTTACTGTTTATATTATAAAATTTGCAGTTTTGAAAAAATACCTCATATGCATATTTTCATATAAGGTTTTTCTAGAAGCTAATATCAATTAACCTTGTGATGTCGTTTCAGTTGAGGTTCCAAAGGAAAAGGAAAAACCAGTTTCTGAAAAGAAAGGTACATATCTAGTTTACCTGTCGATTCAAAATCCCTTTTACTAATTATGTAATGCAGCACCTTATTGATTGAGATCTCTACATCTGCAAGTTAAACACTTTTTTTTTGCAGCAGAACCTGAAATAACCAAAGAAAAACCCAAACCTGTGCCAAAGAAGGGTAAATAAACAGTTTTTCCACTGGCCTTTTGTAAGATAATGCTAATAATTTGCATTTGTCTATATTATTCATTTATTATTATTATTTTATATATATATATTTTAGAGGCTGAAGTCATCAAAGAGAAAGTTAAACCAGCTCCTGAGAAGAAAGGTTTGATTTGCTGTATTAAGAATTAAATGACCATTTTCTGTAACAACATGTATGATTAAACATTATGATGATTTTAGAGCCTGAAGGCATTAAGGAAAAAGTTAAACCAGCTCTTGAGAAAAAAGGTGAGTTCGTTGATATTTTATCTCAGTGGTTTTAAAGATAATATAAAAAAAAAAACTTCAGCAATCACCACATTGCCATTTCAGAGGCTGAAGTCAAGGAGAAAGCAAAACCAGCTCCTGTAAAGAAAGGTATGGATGTGAAATGCTTTTGTTCATCACATTAAAATGATTTTCTCACGGAACAAGTTTCATGTCAGTTGTTTTAATTAATGTTTTCTATTTTCACAATTTCAGAAACTGAAGTTATCAAAGAAAAAGCCAAACCAGCCCCTGAGAAGAAAGGTTTAATTTATTGTTAAGAAACATTTTACACAAGCTATTACTATTAAAATATTAAAACTTCTAAATATTGTATATCGTTGCTATTTCAGAGGCTGAAGTCATCAAGGAGAAAGCTAAACCAGCCCCTAAGAAGAAAGGTATATGGAGTTAATATTTTTAGTTATATTTTAATATAACACTGATGTTTTGGTTTCTCTTACTATTTTTTTTTTAAACCAGTTCCTCTAAAGAAAGGTGTTTCTGCTTTAAGTATGCTTCTATTACATAAACATACAGTATTAAACACATTATTTATTTATAAGAACAGCTTTAGTTTTTTAAAGCAAAATAGATTGTTGTTTGAGAATGAGAGTTGTTTTTTCTTAATATTTTAGAGGCTGACGTCATCAAAGAGAAAGCTAAGCCAGCCCCTGAGAAGAAAGGTTTGATTTACTATGTTAATATTTAAACATTTCCTCTAAGCAAAATTTTTAATTACACAAAAGGATGTCTTTGGATTCCTCTAAAATGTTTTGCATTATCATCATTTCAGAGGCTGTAATCGTTAAGGAGAAAGCTAAACCAGCCCCTGAGAAGAAAGGTATTATACTATTATCTTAGCTTCAGAAGTGGTTTCACTTTGTGGTAAAGATAAAGCTAATAAACACATTTTACGATAATGCGAAAAAGACATTAACTATCTCTAAATATTCTTAAAATATTGCCATTTCAGAGGCTGAAGTCATCAAGGAGAAAGTTCAGCCAGCTCCTGTAAAGAAAGGTGCATGAATATAAATGAAATCCTCCAGCATATGCTGATACTCTGCTGTATGATGAATCACATGAATTATATCAGATTAATTTTAAACACTTTATAGAGCCTGAAGTTGCAATAGAAAAGGCTCCCGATTCCGAACCAAAACCCAAAAAAGCTGAGATGTCTTCTCGCAATTCTTTTTTGAGACATTGGTCAATCAAATAAAAACAAAAATTAAATAAAGTGATTTATTGTGCTTGTTAACATTAGATTAAATATGTGCATTTAACTGCATTATTTAAAATTGCTCTGTTTTGCTTTGTAGAGCCTGAAGTTACTAAAGAGAAAGCTAAACGGACCCCTGGGAAGAAAGGTTTGATTTACTTTATGTATTCAATTTTCATTGTAGTTATCAGAATGTAATTCTTTCTCTAAACATATTTGCAATATGATTATTATAGAGGCTGAAGTCATCAAGGAAAAAATTAAACCAGCCTCTGTAAAGAAAGATATGGCTATGAAATCATCCTGTGTATACACTGTTGTTTTCAATGTATGATGATTATTCATAACACAAAACCCAAGCCAGCACCAAAGAACGTCTCGGTTACGTATGGTAACCCTCGTTCCCTGAAGGAGGGAACGGAGACGTCACGTCGGATGACCGACGAAATTGGGATCTCGCTTAGAGAGACCAATCTACTTCGAGTGTAAACTAAATGAGCCAATGCACATTGGCATGC